CCGAATGTTTCAAAATGTTTAAAAAAAACATTCGTGTGTGGACGGGAGGGTCGGCCGTGGTTGGCTGGTGGTTGGCTGGTGTTCGGGAGTAGTTCGGGACGTGCACGTGGTTTGCAGTCAAATTTGACTCAAATTTAACTCAAAATAAATTCGACTCGTATAGGATAGACCTCTGGTCACACTGCTCCCGAACTTCAGCCAACTTTGGTCGAATGTTCTGACAGGGGTTCAACAGACAGGTCCACAGCTAATGAGTGCATGTTGTACTACATGGTGGCTTCATCAATCTTTACTACAGACTGACACAGTCAGGGCGACCACAAATAAGGTTTAGACAAGCCCTGAAAGACCGCAGCTTATTAGCTACTTTGATATCCTTACCGGTGGAATCATGTGTGACATAACGACAGAGCATTAGGCTCGGAACCAAGAGGTCCCGAGTTCGAATCCTGCCATGTCACCGGTTTTGTATGTGCGTATGGAAAAGCCACTTTACACGAATTTCCTCAATTTACTCGGGTGAAAATGTCTGTTGTCTGTTCATGCGTTTGTCTTCGTTGGTGGCGGCATAAAGATAAGTTGAAAAAAAGTTGAGTGTGCCGTGGGCATGTCTTGTAATAAAAATTGTTGGAACAGAAAAATTGTGTCCTCTCTTCATATCTATTTACCATCCACATTCCACGGCATGGCAACAGACATCTTCGGCAAATTTTCAACATGTTGACCACTTTCAGAAGGCACCAAAATTTCCTAGTTTTTTTTTTTCTCTTTGTTGTTGTTATTTTCAAAATTAGGCGAAAGTTAGAAATTAATGCGCGCACTGATGTCATCCATAAAACTTGCTGTGGCCTCAGATATACAAACGTTAGCACTATAGACTATACCCTGGAGATGCCAAACTCGTTTCGGGCCGCTAGAAATTTCCTTCGGCAGCCAAAAGCCCTTCGCCCGCGGGTCTAAATTACCGCTACGGGGAGACTAGCCCGGGGGAGTTTGGCTGGTCCGTTCAAAACTCCCCTCGGGCTCAACTCCCCCGTAGCGGTAATTTAGATAGGCGGAGGAAGGGCTCTTGGCTGCCGAAGGAAAACGGCTAACGGTCCGATACTAGTTTGGCATCCAGGGCAAATAGACTACCTCGGTGAGTAGTCAGAAATGCAATTTGCCGGAGCTATAATGGTAAGTCAACAAGGCACGACAAATATTAGGTGTCTCTGTGTGTTTAGGCAGTGTTTAAGTTGTGTGCTGACCGGTTCTTTTATCAGGTGTGGGTGAGAATTAGGCTGAGTCAAGAGGCGTGTTCCCCTTACTTACTCACCGCGCGCTGATAAAACTTGTGTTTGACAGGAGACAACATGGCGTTCAGATCAAAAGGCGGGAAGTCGGGAGGTCAACATCACGCTACCTGTCTTCTGATCTAGCCTCCACCTGGTCTTTATACGGTTATACGGATCGTAGAATTCGGCCAAAAGGAGAGTTAGGCCTCACTGATTTAATTTTATGGATGACATTCTCTGAAAACCCCCAAACTAGTGCGCGCGGGCGAATAAAAAAATTCCGGCCAAAAATAAAAATGCTACTAAACCACAGGAATACAAAGCTGGTATTGTGAATTCGCGGCAGTACTCAGCGACGTATACGACAAGCTGGCACATGCTGGCTTTTTGCGGAATTTATGAATCGGTACTGTGCATATGTACTGAGTTCTTGAGTTGTGGAGCTTTGGTAGCCTGGGTGTCTGTTTACGTCACTTTATATGTTGCAGTAATGTTTTGTCATGTTTTGTCAGCAGGGCAATAATCTATTCTAGTTCCTGTCTTCCAGAAAAATTTAAACGCTTTTTAGCTTCAATTCGGATCATCATCAATATAACACTAGACATTGTAACGATTTGGCAGTAATGCACACCAAAAACCAACAAAGAATGTTCACCATGATGTCTAGATTCCCCAATACCTGGAACATTTTAGACAGGAGTTTGCAAATTAATTAATCTTTCTTGAACTTTAACAGCACTTCAAGACGACACCTTATAAACCACCCAACATTCAACATAGAGCTTCAAAGAAGCCAACATCCCTAAAGCGACACCAAGCGATGTAGAACTAAAGTGCACCTGTCTTCATAGCAAATACATGTATAGGCATGTGTGAAGAAAACTAATAAGAGTTTGCGAAGCAAGTGACGTAGCTGATAGAAAACACGACTTTTTTTTTATAATTCCTTGATTGACCATAAATACCCCATGAGTGATCATAAATGCGTGTTAAATTAAATTAATAAAGTAGACTTCCTACCGTTTCAGTCCTCTTCTTCTTGCTCTGAAATTATATAAACAGAATATTTCAGTTACCACAATTTCTCCATCCTTTCATCATTTAGAAGATCACCAAAGGACTGTGTTCCTACTAAGATCACAAAACCCACTCATTATGCAGAACGTGGGACTATTAATTATCCACTGCCTTCAAAGAAGAAGTCAAACCTCACAATAGCAAGCTAAGCGTAGCAAGTTTTTTTCAGAAAGTAGCTGTCTGCTTCCTATTATTGTATTGTACCGTATAGTATCTTTGACTCTGTACAAGCAATTAGTTTTCGGGCATGATTTTGTAAATAAGGACATTGTATTATGTTTACCGAAGGAAAACAATATGAAAGACGCTGGCGAGAAAATGCACCGTACATCAATACACCGTTAATATACCTGTCTCCAAGTCATTTTACAACAACAGCTTCTTTCCCCGGACTGCAAAATTATGGAACTCGCTTCCAAACAGTTGCTTTCCGTCCGACTACAATCCACAAAGCTTCAAAACAAAGGTCTACCGCCATCTCCTGACATAACTACATTATACTCACTTTAGCTCTATGCCCAGAAGTGGCCAAAAATAATTGGCCTTGCATTGAGCGACACCGTTAAAAAATGATTATTAGACCAAAGATAGAATACTAACAAACCTTTTCTATGGATAGCCTTGTCCGAAGCCGCGCCATCTTGCTTCGATGTAAGATCCCATCGTGTGCAGAATCTACGGAATCAACCCGAGAGATACCGGCAACACTCTCCACTGTTCCCGGGTGGGCCATTTGGGAGAATAGAAGAAGAAGAAGGTCTCCCGTGCTCTTATGCCGAGCGTAGGGTGGTGCCCATCTCCATTTCTGTAGCCCTTGGGCGACACACAGTTGTGCAAGGCACTACAGCAGGGGGCTGGTCCGCTGGTAGTGCTGTGTGTTTGACCTTCCCACACTCGTTCTCATACGTGCTGAGTGCTTCGCAGAGAAAGAAGTGTGTACCATTTTTAAAGTCTTTGGTATGACCCGGCCGGGGTTTGAACTCACGACCTCCCGGTTAGGCCATGTTGATTTGATTATATGGATGACATCCTCTGGGAACCCCAAAACTGATGCGAGCGTGCGAATAAAAAAAGTTTTGCCAAAAAAAAAAGTTGCTTTAATTATGAAATCTACGTGGTCATGAAGGTTGAACAAAGGGCACAGAGTATCGTTTGGCGAATAATCTACTCTTCAAATTCATTTCTTTACATTTCGTTTTTTTTTGTTTGATTTTGGCATTCTACGACATTGGTATCGTTTTCAAATATTTTTTTGCAACTTACGGGTATAGATTTGTTCATTTTGCAACTGTTTTGTATGATTTACAGTATGGTTGAAAACTTTTTTTTTTTTTGGAAACGGCCGAAAATTCATGCGCGCGCGGATGTCATCCATATAATCAAATCAACATGGCCTTACAAAGCGAGCACTCTACCAATTGAGCTATTGCACCGGTGTTTTAGGAGAATACCTGGTTACTTATTCGTCACAACTGCACCTTCAATAACTTCTATCATTCTACAAAATCTGTGGAGATCCAAATGTTCAGCCCACAGCGAGATGCGCACCTTAAAAAGGAGATAGCTACAGTGGAATATGTTTGTTTTACATGGTTGGCTTCCTAGAATTTGACCCTATAATTATCAATCATTGCGAATATCTATCCAAATTTTTTTGTGAGCAAATGAAGGGGGATATGGGAGTTGTAACTTTCAATCAAGGCTCATTTCCTATTCTCTGTTATGTTTATTAGAATATCATAAATTGCTTCTATAAGAAGCGATACAGTACACAAGTGTCGTGGAACGTAATCTCGAACACTCGTATCCAAGGCAACTTTAAAAGCAAGGTTGATATTCACTGGAACAGAGAGGCTCTGGTGTTATTCCTTTTTCTAGGAGAGTTTGAATGACAAAACGCAATTTTAGGGTTGACCGAATTTTGTCCTTTTGCACTTTTGCGGGGTCGTGGTCGAGTAGTTTACGTGAAAAGAAAAACAAATGACAAAATCCCAAACGCAAAACCTTAGGCCACACCAATTCAATTTGTTGTTTCTCGGAGTAGCCCTGTCCATTTTTTCTGATTTGTAAAAAAAAAAAGGTTTTGAATCAACTGCAAAATGCTCAATAAAAGACATATTTTGGCCCCAACGGTTGAAAAAAGTCCTTTTCTTCCTAGTTTAAAAAATTTAAAAGTTTTAAAAAAATGCTACTAAACCACAGGAATACAAAGCTGATATTGTGAATTTACGGCAGTACATAGCGACGTATACGACAAGCCCGTGTACATGATGGCTTTTTGCGGAATTTATGAATCAGCACTGTACGTATGTACTGAGTTCTTGAGTCGTGGAGCTTCGGTAGCCTGGGTGCCCGACTCCGAATTGTCACTAACTACCATGGACTACCCAGGCCTAGGGCCAGGCCAGAGCCTCGGTGGACGTGATCTTTTTTTTAGAACATGCGAAAATCAATGCGCACGTCGATGTCATCCATAAAATTAAGTCGATGTGGCCTTACATTAACTAGGTCCACCAAATACAAAACAAATAGCTGCAGTTGCATGTAAAACATTAAATCAAACAACTTTATTGCCCAACAACTGCAACTGGTACAATATATGTGTCTAATAACAATACGACATTCTCGAGGCAGCAGTACATTGTATGCTCATGTTACGATGAAATTCTCTGACAGAGCTTTCTTGTGCAATTTTCCACAAGCAGCGTCTGGGCAAAAGTGAGTGTCAGCCCATAACCTTTTTCTGAATTTCGTTCTACCCTCTCTAAACTGTAAGGAGTAGGGACAGTTGCTATCACTGAGGTTTAAAATAGGTTCAGATAGTCTTGTTCTTCTGCAAATTGAGTGTGGCTCATTGCCGTTGTCACAATCATCCAGGAATCCTTCAGTCCGGCCTATGTTAGGATGAATAGTACTACAAAGAGGCGTTTCTAGTTCTGCTTTGCGCTCATCAGTTCTTTGAGTGACGCCATTTTGTTCCGTGGTGGTGTTCCCGTTCTGCGCCTGCGCGGAGTTGGAGTTAGACTGAACCAAGTCGTCAGATTCGCTGTCTGACCATTCGGTGACGTTAGATCGTCCGGAAAGCGACGTCATCGACACGGTGTCGATAATCACACCCGAGCGTTTGTCCACCAAGTCGTCAGAGAAGGACACAGCTCTCTTCACCTGTTTAAGAACATCATAAACGGCATGATAACTCACAAGATGGATACAAACAAACCCTTAAAGCACTGGTGGTAAGGTGCTGGCACAAGCAAGAAGCTGAATATATTATCATTGTATGCGACCTCTCATCTCCCAAAAGCGATCTGATAATGTCGTGTTGCTTTGTAGTTGTAATTGTTTATTGCTCTGTAGTTTTATGCTAGTTGTAGTCTAATGGATGCAAGTGTTATGTTGTGTGCCTTAACTTGTATTACATTTGTGTACTCTGTGTTTTATGAATCCGGGAATAATAGATTAGATTTGTTATCTAACCTAAGGCCACAGCAAGTAATTTTTATGGATGACATCGGCGCGCATTAATTTTAGACTGATTTTGGAAAAAAAAAAAACAAATTTTGTTGCCCTCTGACAGTGGTCAACATGCCGAAAATGGGCAAAGATGTATGTTGCCATGCCGGAAGGTGGATGGCAGATAACTATGAAGAGAGGAGACAAGAAAAGGCTCTGATTTAATTGTTTTGTTTCTTACTTTGATGCAGTGATATGTGATGGTGGTTGTGTATAAGTGATGTTCCCACTGAATCAAAACCATTTGTAAAATGATTGAGTCAAAATTTTGAAATGTAGGAACCTTGTTTTTTTTGGCCCGTCTTGTTTTTTTTTCGCCCGCTCGCATTAGATTTGGAGTCTGCGGAGGATGTCATCCATAAAATTTACTTGCTGTGGCCTAATGGATATCTAATAAAACATCAAACATCACCTTCGGCTGATCCAGTAGCAGTGGCTTGAAGTCAGTCAGTGTTGGCGAGTCAGCAGTCAACTGCCTTTTGTGGCTGGGCTGTTCCAAGAGCACTTCGATATCGTAGCTGTCTATTTTGGAAGGGTTCTTGATGGCCTTTTCCAGCTTCTTTATCATCGAATCCAGCTGAAAGTGGAGGATAGAAAAGAGATATACAATTACGTATTATCATGTCAATGATACAATATGATTGTACATTGGACAAAATTATATTACTGGTCACTGAACAGGACTAAGTTTTAATTAAGAGACCATATATACCAGGGCACTCCAGCCATCGGAGACGGTGGACGATATAAACTCCCTGGCACGTTTGACCAATTGCTGACGTCACGTCTCATCAGTAAAGTCTCGTGTGAATAACGTCACGTGTCTGGAACCGTAACTCTCGCGAGATTACGTTTTGAAGTGATTGGTCATTCATTATTCTAATGGAGGCAACAGTAGTCGTTGAAAATTTGATCTCTGTGTAACCCTTGTGTTGGAATAAAGTTCAACATTTTACTATGATACAGTATAATGTAGCGATGCTGTGATATCATTATATGATAAGATTCACTATCTAAAAACAAATACCTGTCTGAGTTCCTGTTTGAAGACGCGGTTGAGCACCTCGGCCCGGAAGAGGACCTCCTTCTCGTCGGTGACGGTGAGTCTGCGGGACCGCCCCATCATCTGTAACCCCGCCGCCTCGTCTATCGGGTCCCGCTCGGGGTGTCTCCGTAAGGCCATCATCTACAAAATATATTCTTTTTTAATATATTCCAAAATTTTTTATGAGTAGACATTGTGACGGCACACTCAAGTTATATCAACTTACAATGTATTTTATGCCGCCACCAACGCAGAGGACGAATACAAGACAATACTCATTTTCACTTGAGGAAAGTCGTGTTAAGTGCCTTTCTAAAGTGTCTTTATCAAGGGCAAAAGATCGCTGGCATGTCAGGACTTGAACCCGGGACCTCTTGCTTCCGAGTCGAGCACGCTGCCGATACGCCACACGACCCCACATACAAAATATTGAATATGAATTTCACTTTGTTATGACTGTTCCCACTTATAAATAAAAAAAGAGAGAGATACACTGTTACAGACTATTACTACCTAGACAAAGTTCACCCTATCTGGTACACAGAAACGATACATTCCTTAGATTGTTGTCATGTCCAACTACCATATCTGACTGCATAGGTCAATTTCTTTATACCTTATTCCATAAGCGAGACCAAAATATCATACACCATATTGCAACTCAAATACATGGATTGTTATCGATAGTACTATTAGTAGTTTGTAGAAATGATTGTTAGTTTTATTTTAGCTATAATTTGTAGTATTGTTGTATTACTGCCACGCATTGTACCATGTACGATTGTCGAGCAATAAAGTTCATTCATTCATTCTACAAAAATAACAAAACGTGCAAAAATAATGTCTCGCAACTTGAAAGTACAGTGTACTTTCTCGGTGATTTTATTTCATGGTAAAAACGAGAAGTAGATTTTTACGGTGATTTAAAGAATTGGTTGAAAGAATTCTGAAGCACAGTAGTAAACCATTAGAAACGCGTATTCGTGTAGTCTCCACCAGACTTCTTTTGCGGGGTGAATAAATCGTAGAAATCGGCCTAAAAAGGGTATTAATTGGCCAGAGAAGGTAGCCGGCAAGAAAAGCTCCATTTGGCTACCTTCTCTGGCCAATTAATACCCTTTTTAGGCCGATTTCTACGATTTATTTACCCCGCAAAAAAGTCTGGTGGAGACTAATATTCGTGGCGGTGGAGAGCTAAAAAAAGGGTATGAAAAAAACATCGCTAAAGTTTTAAGACTTACAGAAGCATAATCTACAAGCCGATTTCTTTGGGGGAAAACATTTAGAGTATTACATTTTATTTCACACATGTTACATCACCTCATCCTATCGTTAAGTCATGTCTGTGGTAACAGGAAGTCTCTGGTGCCAAAGATAAGTCTAATTTTTCACTCGTCTGTGTTTTTAGCAGACAGAAAGGGGAAAAGGGTCAGCATGGGGGTTCCTGAGTCAAGATTCAAGAGTCACGAGATTCCTGAGTCACAGAATTATTTCCACATGTTTCCTTCTTGATCGACTTCGCAGGTTTCTCTGTGCACTATATATATAGCTGGCCCTGTCCGTCCAATCTGAAGTTCAAGTATACTTTTTGGCAGGTCCTTGTTGGTCTCAGAGGCTCGTCGCAGGCCCCTCTCGGTTTCGTCTCTCTACATTGTTTAAGGTGAGTATTTATCTATATAATATACATAATATATAATGTACAATGCACAACAGAATTGTTACTCAAGAAACTAGATACATTTTGAAAACTGTCAAAAGTTTCAAGTAGCATCCAGTACTCCGTAAATAATTTCATCAGGTTGGAAACGACTGAATAGCAAAGTTCTTTTTATCACAACCATTTATTTTTTCACTAGCCGACGTTTCGATGACCGTCTGTCACATTTGGTTACATTTGGAACCGCATATTTCCCTATGATGTAACAATGCCTAGTATGTATGTCACAATTACACTACGTTCCGGAATGTATTGTAAACAGAAAAAACTAGCTTAAGTGCACTATGAACTATCGTAACACCTTTAGTGCACTATGCACCAAGTAACATCTAGCGTCAGTGCACAGTAAACCAGTCAGAATTTCCCTGATGAAGATGACAGATGGTCATCGAAACGTCGGCTCGTGAAAAATAAATGGTTGTGATAAAAAGAACTTTGCTATTCAGCATCCAGTACTTTTCGACAGTAGCAGTTTTCAAAATCTATACAGTTGTAATGAGTAGCAATTTTCTTGCTTTAATTGTGTATCTCTCATTACCTGGATTTCCAACGTTTATCGGCGTATTATCTTTGTATTACATGACACATAATCATTACAATTGTACCCCCTTTGTCAAGCTAGCCCCCGGCCAACCGGGCCTTCCTACGGGGGTACGGATAGTAGAATTCGGTAGAAAGAGGAAATAATTGGCTAGGAGATAGCCTCTACCAGGCACCGCGGATCGCTGGAAAAATAGTAAAAATCGGCCGAAATAAAGGGGTTGTATACCAGAGAAGATCCCGGGCCATAGAAGATCCAATTCG